AGACAAGTACAAGGAGCCCCCATGTGCTCATAACCTAGCTTCAAAAACTATCAACTGATGGCTAACCTTTCCTTTTAAATTGCAAAAATAAAAACACACCTCTGGGGAGCATATCTGAATTCTCAATCAAAGTGACCAGACTTCTTTAAGGATTGTGCCTTTGGTTTACTGTTCTTCCTCCAATCTTGGGCTGAGAAACCACTGTCCTTACTGCCTTACTGACAGTAGTAATGACCCAGAGATTCTTACCAGACAAAGAGAAAGACCTAAAGACATTGATATTGAGGTTTTCTGAGAAAACATCCCAGACAAACCCCCATATATGAAGTCCACAGTTGACAAGCCCCTCCTACATGCACAGTGATTCCCGTAAGTTTTTTAGTGTCCCTCTCATAAACATAAGCAGGCAGCCAAGAGATCTACATTTATGGAAAGCCTCCAACATGAAGACAGCCCAGAATATGTAAACAGGGTGGTGCTGGGGGGGAGCACCTTGAAGGAAACAGAAATATGCAAGGAGATGAAAACGTAAAAGAAAAAAAAAACCAATTACTCTCTTCAGAGAGATATAAGAAAATACTGCATCAATGAAACAAGAACAGGATGCTATCTAAAAGGAACACTTGGAGAGAAACAAAACAAAATAACTTAGGTACACAAAATAAGATGGAAGAAATTAAAAATACAATAGAAGGTTAGAAGATGAAGTTGAGGAAATCCCCAGAGAGTACATACACAGGAATGAAAGACACACAGAGAGAGAGAGAGAGAGAGAGAGAAATAGATTTGAAAAAGAAATAAGTTTTGTTGTTCTGATTTGCTTTTTAATGAGAACATTAGTTCAGGAGAGCCAACTTAGAAATAATAAGAGTTGCAGAAAAAGAACAGAAAAACAGAAGACAGGATGTCATCAATGGACTAATTCCCAGAGCTATAAGGAGCTTTGGGTAAGGTATTTGGCTGCTAGCTAGGAGGTTGGTGATTCAAACCCACCAGCTGCTCTACAGGAGGAAGATGAGGCAATGTATTTCTCTAGAGATTTATAGCCTTGAATGGCAGTCGCTGTGAGTTGCAATTGACTCGATGGCAGGGGGTTTGGTTTTTTTGGTCCCCGCAGCTGTAGGAAATTATTTTCTGGATTCCAGATATAAATAAAAGCTAATATCAAATAACAGTTAAGTGGATGATGCTGTTTTAAGTATTTTATAAGCATTAATGCCTTTAATTCTCATTATCTCAATTTTGCAGATGAGAAAACTGAAGCACAGAAATAGTAATTACTTCCCTGAAGTAAGAAAGCTTATGAATGGTGGTGTGAGATTGTAATCCAGTCAGACTCGGGAGTATGTGCTTCAGGCCCTGTGCTGATGCCAGCACAGAAAGGAAAAAAAAAACCAAACTCACTGCCATCAGCTCAATTCTGACTCATAGCGACCCCTCCTTGGATTTCAGAGGTGGTATCTCTATAGAAGTAGATTGCCCAACCTTCCTTCTGAGGAGTGGCTGGTGGGTTTGAACCGCCAGCC